CTTTCTGTAGCCGGGTGCAAGACAAGGGTCGAGCTCCTCAGAGCCTGCTGTGGGGCAACACTGTCCACATCCATACATGCACCACTGCAGCCCTGACCTTTGTCTGTCCTTTGAAGGAGACCAGGAATCGCTCTCTGTAGAGCTGTGAGGGTCATCTGGGAGCTGGAGGAGCTGAATATGCCCCAGCATCTCCTGCTCTCCCCATCATCCATCTCCCTTTGTGCTTCACTAGCTTAACTTCTCATCTGTGTTGCCCAAAACCCTGACCACGCGGTGGGAAAAATTGGTGACCAGTGATGGGCTCCAAAGGATTGTGTGTTTCAGATGAAATCAGAGAAGATTTATCAATATGAGCGCAACTCAAAAGAAAGCACATACTCATTTCCAGCTAGTCCCTCTGTAAAAGCCAAAGATCATAATAAAAATAAGAAAACCCTTAAGAACTGACATTAGTGAGATTTATGAGGCTGAAACATTGCATGAGACTGTGAACGTGTACAGTAAAAGTCTTGAATTAACAGCAGAAAAGAAACAGAGCTAACTGGGAACCCCGGCCTTCACTGCTTTCAATGAGAGGAGATGTTTCTGGGAATTCCCAGTACTGGGCAAAATAAAAAGAGCGTTTCAGCCCAAACTACAAACTTCTTGGCTTTTCTGGGTGTAAATCAGATCCTTACATTATCTCAGTGTCAATTTGCGGCTGAGAGCAATTCAGCAACTCTCAGCACAGCCAGACTGGAATTTAACAGAACAGGATCTGAGCATTTAAGCTCTTAATGATTAGGTGTTTTTGTAGAAATGAATCTTACAAAAAAATGAAGTTCGGCAGAAAGTTGACAGTGTTGAGACCACAGAATGGAAAGCGACTTTACAACCCTACATTCACATTTTCCACCTATAGGATTTCAACATTTGCTAAAGTTGTAATAAGGGCAGCTTCTTCACGGTGCTCCCTCTGGGAAATATCACATTCAGCAATTCCTGAATTACAGTTTCTAATTATATTTTTGTACCGTAATGCTGTCTGAAATGCAAATTTGATGACAGAATAATTTGATCCATGTAAAATAATTATAAAATTACTGTTTCTCAAACCTCAGCTCATACTCCCTGCTATTTAAGAAGATAAATTTAACAGCAGTAAAAGTACAGCCAAAACATATCCTATTTTTTTAACTGTTATCTGACTATAACTGCCTTGCTAGTGTTTGGCTCACCACGGAACATTATTTCTCAACTATGGCTACCAAAAACATTTCAGTGCTTGGATTTTTTTACTTTAGCTTGGAACCAACAATGAGGTCAACTTTTAGTTTGCATTCAGAGCACCATATCCATGGCATCTGGCTTTAATTGAAAAAGCAACTCTTGATTAAAATGCCAAATCTCTACTGCTGCTCAGCTACCACTTAGCTGTCGCTGATGTTGATGCAGGACATTAAATTAGCACAACGTGATGATTTTTAGCAGGGCTGAAGCTAACTTCTGCAGTATGTAATTTAAGAGCCTGAATCTCAGCACTGCTGCATGAGTTCCTGCTGTTTGTCAATCCCTTCCATATGGGGGATTTTATCCCCTCCATTTTCACCTTCAGTGGTGGGTAGGACCTATAAAATCACAGCTGAACTCTCATTCTGTCTCAAAAGTGCTAGAAAGTGTTGGAGTTTTCTCCATTGCAAGATTTATTCTGGTTTTTATTACATTTCTAGCCTGAATTTAGAATGTCATTGCCTGTGGACTCAAGCAGATCAAGGTAGAGCACACCAGAGGCTTGAGTGTGTTACTACTACTAGGCTAGAGGCATCAACAACCTGAATTTGTTTTTAATGTCACTGGCTGAATCCAGTCAGAGGAGAAGCGATTCAAGGAGATTTCAGTCCTGTTTTCAGTCGCGCTCTCCTGAGGTAAACGCTGTGTTTCTTCAGCAGTTACTGGTCTGTTCAGCCTTCTTGGTGGAGAAGGAGACACAGCTATAGGAAGAGCTTGTCTTCTCCCCATGTCTGTGCAAATGAGTCACATTTACAAATCATATTAAGGCTGGTGGGAGATATGAGGGTGAACGCGGCACCTCCAGGGGAAGGTAGAGTGTTACTAAGTGGGTGTGCATGGTCCTTTTTTCTTTCTCCTTATATTAGAAAAATTCAAGTCCAAGTAAATTTACAGTCTGCAGGAATAGCCTTGGATGGAAGATGGGGGTGCATTGCAATCACCTCTTAGCAGGAAGGAGGGAGGAATTTCAAGCTTGTGTTTTTTCTTTTCTTATGATAGCTGAAACCCATAACAAGGAAGAGACTGAGGGATGCTTAACATGGTATGGTCCTGAGAATTTCACATGCTCCTAAGGTAAAATTGAAGTTTGATATTATACACAGCTAAACAAAAAGGAGAGCATGAAATCACGGGGATCAGGCACACGGCCCTGGGACTCCTCTCACACCCCATTTCCATCACTTTCTCTGGTTAGCGACTCATGCTTTTTCCATACTTTGCAGACCCTCACATTGCCTATTAGGCACCTCACTGTCGCGGCCATCTAATCCTGCAGTGGGCAGCCCCCAAGGCTCCCAACACCAACAAGAGGGGACGGAGCTCGTCATTTCTCCAAGCAGGACACATCTGCCTGGCACTTAACAACATCTTCTGTATCCATGCTGTGGGAAGCAGCTTATCGTCCTCTCTCAGGTCAAGCTAATGCTTTCCCCAAGGCTTGTTCAATACTGATAAAGCAAAATGTGTCTATTTAAACTAGAGATGAGGAAGCAATTTTCAAAACATTTCTAATGAATAGATCCTGAGCAAATCCACCTCAATTTTTTTTTTTTTTTTTTTTTTTTACCTACCAGGTGTTTCCAAGATATCAAATGCTCAGGATGCTGTATTCAAGCCTAAATGAATGAGATGGTGCCACAGCCCTCTGTGAACTGCTATGCTGACACGTCAAGTCACACATAGTAGTAGAGGAATCTGCAAAAAAGAGCCAGATCCAACTAACATGAAGGTGAATAGCTTTCTTTGCAGGAAAGCTCCCACTCAGCTCATAGTCATTGCCAACCCCTTGCATGCCCTGACCCAACACCAGAGCCTCAAGCATGAAGGACCAGGTCTGGTGCCTCCCTTCACACCGCCGCCTTCACTGCGACCACCATCCAAACTCGGTGTGAGCTCACATGTGGGTGAGACCTCATGGACTGCAGTCCCTCAGAGAATCATCTCCTCTCCCAACCTGTTGAGCAGCTGCTCCCAAGACAGCCCAACCTGCTCCCCAGAGTAAGGACAGTGGCAGCCTCACTTCTCTTGGCAGTCCATGCCACCTAAGAAAAGTCTGCGAGCCTTGTTCCTGCAGGAAGCTGAGAATCATAGAATCATAGAATGCTTAAGGTTGGAAGGGACCTCTAGAATGAGGCATTCATCATCATCATCATTGCGAAGTTGTTAGGATATTATTTTGCATATATGCACACGCATACACACACACACATATATGTTTGATTTGCTGATTCATTGCCATCAGGGGAAAAAAACTAATAAACAAGATTTAAAATATTTCAGTCTCCAAAATTTCATATTTTTGACCTAAGAGTTAAACTGGAAAGAATAGATTAAGTAACATCATAAATAAAGGTTGAGAGATTTTAAATACATTTATCACTGTTGGTCTGTTAAGAATGCCAAAAGCAGGGACATCTACAGCATTAAACCATAACTTTCTTTACAGAAGTGCTTTTAGTGTTAATCTCCACCTTGAGGCGATTTTGAAGCAATTATGTCTGCTGAATTTATTAATATTAGAATAATTTTTATACACTTTTTTATCTTTTATTGCACTGTATTTTAAATTTTTCTGGAGCATCACAATTGCTTCAGAATAGCAGCCGCTTTAGAAAATCATTACCACTATCAATAAACCCCTTGAACTTTGGGAGGAAGAGAACAGGGAATAGAATATGTAATCTGAAATGATAAGAATGACCTAACATACTTTTTCCAGGAAATAATGCACATGATGTTTCATCTGTAATCTGCTCTTAAAACCCATCTGCATGTTCACACAAAAACAAACTCAGGCAGTGGCGATAAACTTCAGCAACTCTGGAATCTCCTTCTTGATAACAACCTCTTCTAAATAAGTGCAATACAAAAACAGAACCAAATTTCCTCTTCTGTTCCAAAAAAGATCCAAATAGTATTTATTTTTCAATTACCATGGTGCTGTTCGTGCTGTTCTTTTTTTAGCTAATCTGACCGTTCTTAGTGCACAACAGAAAAAGAAGACTCTGTGTGTGTGAGCAAAAGGGTAAGAGCCTGTGTTACAGCAGCGTGGGTCTCTTGGCATATTTCAGATAATTTTTCAGGAAGCTGTTGATCCTTTCCTCTGTAAACACTGTGCAGTCGAGAGTGCCACATGCCCCAAGACACGGACGGAAAGCCCTAATGAACCGCGTACGGTAGCGGTGGGTGCAGGGAGCATGTGTGAACAATGATGATTTAAAGGCTCAAACTTTTGGAGTTGGATAGCGAGCGGTTCCTGTCTGTATCAACTGCTGGCTTTCCGTTCATTAAAACCACTGGCTATAGAAACATCTCAACCAGAAGAAATGAAAAAATTCAAGTCCCAGCTGAAGTATAAAGCTGTACAGACGTCCAAATCAACAAAATGCCTAAACATGATTTCCTTTAAGTCCAATATAGATTAGCCTAAGTAGCTCATGTTCATTTATATTCCTAATGTGTCAAATGAGAACAATATCATTTTATTCTCTTTTCATGGATCATTAATCTAAATTTAACCCGCTCTGCATTCTGCACACAGAATTAGTAACTGGAAGCTGCTTTGCATTTATCTGATAGTGCCAGGCTTGTTCATCAAGGCAAACTCCCAGCCAAAACAAACAAGTGAAAAAATATCAATCATCATAAGCTGCTTTTTATCTTTTTTTAAAGAAAAAAAAAGGGAAAAAGAAAAAAAAAATACCTGATGAGAACATAAAGCAAATGGTTACCTCACACGGCAGAAATGCAAGTTTTTAATAGTCCATGCTCTGGCAGCCCCTGAGAAACAGCAGCAGCGGCGGCGGCGGCGGGGATAAATCCAGCATCCACTAGGTTCTCACAAGCCTTTGGCTGCGCGGCCGAAACCACAGGCTCTGCCTCCAGCTGACGTCAAAGTCGCTGTCACATGGCCAGATGAAAGCCAAGGGAGCACTGGTTGTCCTGGCAACCGCAGCACTGCTCTGAAATTATTTCAATAGGTCATCTGTCATACTGTGTGCACATTTGAACCATCATGGGCTCCCTGACAACCCAAACACCGAGAACTCGGCGCGCTCGGCCCGAGCGGGGAGCCCGTGCCAGCTCCGCGCCGCGGTCGCTCCGGCCGGCTCCTGTGGGGAGAAGGCGCTTCCCTCCCTCCCTCTTCCTCTTCCTCTCGCATCCCCCACTGCAAGCGGAAAAAGATAAATAAATAATAAAAAAATCGGCTTTTATGCCTGCTATGCCCAAGCATCTCCAGAAGGCTGCCCTCAGCGCACCCATGTACCTCGGCAGCGCGTGGCCACAGCCTGCCTAAAATTAGCATCTTTCAAAGAATCACACACGGCTGAGTTTGTGCACACCGTGGCAAAAATGTATGTCTGGAGGTCAGCACCATCACCCGGATTTGGTGTGCGGCTGCAGAGCTTCGTGTCCCCCATACGGGCCAGCCTCATGTCCCGGAGGCTGTGGGCCTCGGACACCAACCCTCCCCATCCTCCTCCTCCTCCCTCCACACGCGCGGTCCAGGGAAAGCCGCGTCACTCCTGCTGCTTCCAGCCAAAAGCTGTTGGGAAGAGGGCGCTTAGTATCCGCTCACTCCCAGAGCCCCGTCCTGGAGGCAGAGATGTGACCCCTGTCTTGGATTTTCTTGTAATCCTAGCTCAAATCCTCTCTTGTCCCCAAATTCCCTCTTTTTTTTTTTTTCCTGCTCTGCAGGCATGCAGCAACATGTGCACAAGGGGGCAGGATGCGAGAGAAAGAAAGGAAGGAGGGAGGGAGCGACTTTCACCTGTGGGAAGCTGAAGGAAAGTGCCTGCAGCAAGAAAATGTGCTCCTCTGAACAAACGAGGATTGCTGACCAGTGCAAGGGATGCTCAGATACTGGGAATCAAACACGGTTGATGTCTGTTTTAAAAATGGAGCTGGAAATTTTGCAGTATGGGGTCTGCAGCTTAACTGCTGGAAGACCTGCAGGCAAAGCTGGTCTGGCCCCTTCACAAAAGAGATAATATTAGAAATCCAAATGAGAAGAGGAGAGAGCTCGGGGAAGGATGCTGGCAGTGCTGGGGACCGCTGAGAGCCAGCGCGGGGACAGTCGCAACGTCCTGTACTCTGGCTCAGCAGCAGCAGCAAGTGCCGGGTTATGCAGCGCACAGTGAGGCGTGTGGCTTTCCCCTAGCATAGTTTATAACCCGCCTTTTAAACACTACTAGTGCTTCGAGGTTTCCCCCGACCCCGGAGGATGCAGCACGCTCATCTCCCTGCCCTGCGTTGAGAGCAGGAGTAGAGAAAATCCCTGGAGATGCAAGGAGGGCTGAGGGGTTAAAGGCTGTGAGCTCCTCTTCACTGTTGGGATCTAGGCACCAGATAATGTGATTTAGCCCCCAAATAATTGGAAAATGCTTTGTAAATAAATGTTGGATGGATGGATAGATGGATGGATAGAGTGAGCAAAATGTGGTATGAAGCTAACAGCAACCCATGGCACGTGCACTAGCCCACGGCGGCAGCACCTCTCATCTGTGCACTCCTTTTTGTTACCTGCTCGGTTATAACTAATTAGGGAAGAGGATTCAAAGAGGTATCGCAAGAGAATAAAGCAGTCCAAGCTGTCTGAAATTCATACCTTAAAAAGAAAATGTTCACAATTAGCTGCAAAGCTTGTGACAGTTTAATAGAGCAAGTAGTGTATGATGGATTTAAAAAAAATCATATACTACATATGTTACATATAATCATACATATTAATTCACTGTAGAAGACTGAAGTTTCATGTGCACACCCACCAGTGAAATTGTACCATAACATATAGTTATATTTTTTTCATTATTTGCCAATGTTTGTACAATACCACAGAAAGCCTGAGATTATGATTTGAAAAGAGACCTCTCCAATAATTCACAGTACATTACTTTCTAATTATTGGTTTATCAAAAAAAAAAAAAGCATGCCCATGTGAGGTGACTGTAAGTGGACCCAGCCTCAGCTGAATCCCACAGAATCCCAATTTTCCATACCTACAGGCACAGGCATGCTCAGAGTACCTGCATTTTAGTATATATAAAACGTACACACACACATATATATGAAATATCCATTTTGCTCTCCTTGAGGGGATGTGTAAAAGCTCTGTGCAGTTCCTTAGATATGGATGGTGTTTATATGGACTGGCTAATTATATGTCATGAAAGCTTTAGTTCTGTGGCCAGTTGCAAGACTAAGTGACAAAAAAAAAAACAGCCCAGTGCTTTGCAATGCATAGAATAAAGGCAGTCTGAAAGGTGCAGTTTCCATTTTCCAGGGCTCAGCTGAGGTCCTGTTGTGCCTCCCCACAGATGATGATGGGAATATGATTTCTCCACAGGTAAGTTTTCTGAATTAAATCACTACTTCTCCACAGCATTTTCTTGTAATCCTCAGACCTTTTCAGGAATAGCGACAATGGAGGAGCTCACACTGCACCAACAGAAACCGGAATGGAAACAACAGTAATCATCTCTCAGAGGGCCAGAAAACATGCAAAAAAGTGGTAGAAAAATAGACATTCCCTGACTTACTTACTTTAACTTTTCCACGATAAACCCCCAGTGCCACATCTGTCTCTTTCTTAGTGTCAATCAACCAAGTGAAAGCTAAGCAATGAGACACGGGCAGTGAGTGGAAAAATAGATAAAAGATATTTAAAGGCTGAAGTCTACTGAGAAACAAACCAGTTTCGTCAGCCTGGGAGCACATCCTTAAGATTCACGCTCATCATCTCATTTCTGGCCTGCTTTTGCTCTGCCCTGTCACACGTTTGGCTTCCCCTCGGAAAACAAAAGCTTTCTGCCCAGGATTTGGAGGATGGTAATAATTGCCATGTGTGGGGACAAGGAAAGAAAGTTGTCGTGACATGACTCTGTATGGTGGGTAAAAGGAAAGGCAGCTGAATGCACGGATCAGAAGCCAGGGCCCAACCGGTATCCAGAGGATCGGAAGTTGCACCCATGAGTGCACCCAAAAAGCTGCAATGAGTTTCCACCAGAAAGTGGAGATCTTGTACACTTGGATCAAATGGAATTGAAAACGTCAGGCTGGGCGTACGTAATAATTTAAATAATTTGCACACTTAGGTAAAGGAACAAAGAGGAACAGAATCCAGCTTTTCTTCCCATACGTGTTTTGACCCTACAGCGCTCAAAACAGATGACATTTGCTTGCCCATTAAATAGAAGACACACACAGGGAACAGGAATACTACATGGACTGATCTTTGAATCTGCCAGAGATGAGCTTTTCCCTAATCTCAATCACCCAAACAACCTTGTACTCAGAAAGAAGTTAAATCCATTTAAGCACCTGGGAAGCCACGCTTGCCTTTTAAAACATTTACTAAAACATCTTGACTTTTCTTTTACTAAAATATTTTTAAAAGTATTTCATCTTGAAATCTTTCAAATATCCATGACTTTTTGCTGCTTTTAAAAACAAAAGGAAAAAACCCCAAGTAAGCATTATTTTAATGCAATATATCAAAAAGCACATGCATTTTGCTGATCTCTGCAGCTTGCTGTTTGAAAGACTCATGTTTCCATCAGCATCAGTGATACAGATGAAAAAGAGACAGAAACAGGGCTCAGCAAAATGTTGTTGTGTTGACTTATGCTCCCAGAGAAAAACAGAGTGGAAAAAAAAAAAAACACAGGAAAAGACATTTTAGTTTTCTAACAGCTGACATGGCATTGCAAGCAAAGAGATTCTTGAAATAAAAACAATAAACAGCCATGGTTCCCTCTGCCCCATTCACTGAGGGTGTCCCTGTGGTAGCGTTATTGTCCAAGCCAAATCAGGTGGAAGATGACTTCCCAGGAATGCAGCACTGTAAAACAGTCCCATGCCCTCCATTATTTTTTGTCACAACCCTTTAGTACCACCAGTTCCTGTTCTCAAGGAACATAAATGATTCCACTGTAGGGACCAAAAAGCCTGGCTTCATGCCCAATAGCCTGCAGTGCTGCTTTTGTGGACCCTGCTTTCTAGGAGTAAGAAGAACCGCCAAACTCGAGCACTCGGAGGACACCAGCCTTGGCAGTGCATGTCCATCCCTGTATGAGGCCCTCTGACGTGGGGCACTGAGGAATGTCCCCCGCATCCCCCAGCAGGCTGAAGCCCATGTCTGCCACCTCCCTGCCTCTTCTTCCACATTTCCCCTGCAATGTAGGGCCAGTTCCCTACCCCCATCTGCCCTATCGCTGCTTATACAGGAAAAGCATCCTGAGACACAAGTGAGACAAAATCCGCTTTTTTCTCTCGTGTTCAGACAGAACTTTTTGTGCTTCAGTTTGTGCCTGTTGCCTCTTGTCCTCTTGCTGGGCACCTCTGAAAAGAGTGTGGCCCCATCCTCTTTAGAGCCTCCTTTCAGATACATATATATTTGGTAAGATCCCTGCTCCGTCTTCTCTTCTCCGAGCTGAACAGGCCCAGCTCTCCCAGCCCTTCCTCATAGCAGACACGCTCCAGTCCCTTAGTAATGGTCCCTTACTAGCCCTGAAAAGATGAAAATGCATCCTTGCCTGAGTCCCACCTGCTGGCAGCAAATCACCAGGAAACAAGGTCAAAAACTTGAGAGTAGATGAAAAAATGAAATACTATTAGCTAGAAAAAAATCCCATCATCAAGTAACCATAATCAGTACCTCCTAAGGGACCAGCCAGAATTATCTTGAATGTGGATGCCTTCAGTTAATGATGCACTTGAGCTGTGCATGCCTTTTTTTTTTCTTTTTTTTTCTTTTTTTCATTTGAGGCAGCGGGGAAGGGGAAGCTGAAAGAAACCACGGAGAAATAATTTGTAGCAAACAAGAATTGATTACTTGGAAATATGCATGGGAAAAAAAAATCACTTTGGATCAATGACAGTATTTTGGACATCTTTAAAGCAAAACAAGACAAAACAAGGATATATGGAAACAAAGGTCTTCCTTAGAAGCTGTGTGGGCAGGAGAGG